CCCTCCCTACAGGAAGCCACAACCACGTGTGTCAGCAGGGAAAATGGCCGCGGATCCTGTTTGTCACCCGATGTGGAGTTTGCAAACAGAAGCAAAATTTTGCGAACGGTGCTGTTCATGACCCGAATTGGTCGTGAGCAGAAGCGTTCGTGACCCGAGGTACCACTGTACTTGTTTTCTGCAGATTTCCTGCTAGAAATACAACAGGAAGAAGGCGGCAGCCGAGGTGATGCATTGGTTAGAGTGCAGGACTAGGCTTGGGGGAATCGAGGTTCAAAGGCCCCTGATGTGATTGATGACTTTGGGCCAGTGGCCACCTCACCGGGCTGTGGTAGGACCGAACGGAACGAAGAGGACCAAGCTGGACACCTTAAGCAACCCAATAAATAAAAATAAGCACATACTCAAAGAGAACTACACATACCACTGAGGATCTCACCGCTACTGTCCCAAAAGTCAGCGGATTTGGAGGGTCTGTGGTAATATTCATCCCTGTTAGCTGCTAGGATAAGCCTGTAGGAAAAGAACAGAAAATTTATAGTTGCACTGGAAAATGGAGTTTATTGCAGCCGCACAAGATGGAAAAAAAGAGAGATGGCTTTATACATCGCCCTAAGCAACAGTTTAACTATGGTTTGATGAATAAGGTGCAATCAGCTGAGCTTGCATAGGACCCTGAGCCATGATGTGGTGCAGTCGGGTTCAGCAATGATGCCAAACACGAACTCAGCCATTTTCGGACTAGCCAGTTTTATACAATTTAACTGTGCAAAATGTGCAGGGATGCTGAATTCCTGCAAAGCATGTTCATTCAAAGGCTTCTCTCTTCATCCTTTTGATAGAAACCTGGTAGCAGCATTTTGAAAGAGGAGCCTTCTCGCACTACTCAACCTTAACGGGCAGCTCTCCAATTTTAAGGGCTTTTGGGGAGGGAAGGCTATCAAAAAATACATCTTCCAGACAGGTGTAATCAGCGCTTTCAAGCTGGCTTGGTTTTCAGAAAAAGTGTATCTTGGATGTTTGTTCTTTCCTGTTAGGCATATATAGTTCATGAAATAGGGAAGGTGGCCTCAAGAAGTCCATGGGGCAGTTCCATAACTGACTGAACATGCAGAAGGCCAAGGGATAGAAAAAGCAGCTACTTCTCCTAGAGACATCTGGAATTCAATGTTCTGAATTCAGAGATTAAGGAGAAGGAGAGACTAAAAGTGATCAATGTGGGCAGAATAATCTCAGAGGAACACTGAGATCTGTAATCTTTTGGCTCAGTAGTCTTGGGGTTCCCAGTTCCGCTTGGCTAGTAAAGCAAAGGAAGACGCTTTATTATTTTTTAAAGAGCTCCTTCTAATGCCCACTGGAAGATGATGTCATCTCCTCGCTGTTATTTGTGGAACAGCTTCAAAATGACCAGAAAGCTGCAGTAAGGTTCTTAAAGCAAAAACATTCAAAGTTCTCCAAGCTTCTCATCCCAATTTCTTCGAGGTCTTCAGCAGTATTTTTAAATCCTACCCCAACATTCCACACTCCACCAAAACCCATATCTCTGCAAAGAGATGCCCACCAGAAGCGTTGGAGAATGTTCAATCCCTGTTGGCCTCCGCTTTCCATGAAGGAAGGTTTCAGAGGCCAGATCTAGTAGAATAATATGGAAGGCTAGACAGGAGCTCCTCTGGGTCATACCTGACCTTCAGGATGGAAGTTTGTTATGCTTGGGCTGTGTTAAATCTGGACTACTGTTCAAATTCCAAAAGATTTAAACTGTTAAAGCAATACTGCACAAAGGGGAACATCAGACTATTCAAGGCAGGAGATCCAGACTGTCTAAGGGCCCAAGAGAATGTATAAAAAGAATGAATGCACTAGGCTTGACTAGAAACATGGGAGGTGTGAAATAATATGTACATGAAGCTGATTATATTTTGTAAGTTGTTTGGGACCAATTTCCTTTGGAAGGAAGCATCAGAACTTAACACGAGTAAGATCATCAATACTGGATTCTCACATCATGCTAAGCTGGGTCTGCTGAACAAGCCATATCAGTTGATTCACACATACTGCTAAACCCTAAGAAATGGTTTACAAACAGCCATGGCTGGGATCATGCCAACTAAAACTAAACAGACCACATTATCGGTTAAGCATAGTACTTAAACCTAACCAGTAGCCATCACTGCTCCAGTTGTTGAATTCCATACCTTTGAACATGGCAGAAATATATATGAATTCCAGTTACTGGAGAATAATGGCATGAGAAAACCTATGCTGCTGGGGAGCATCTCCTATATGGTGAGCTGTGCAATCCATATACTTTAGACCATGAATGTGATGGTGTAAAATCAGAGGTAGGGGACCATGATTTAGCGACAACTTAAATGTTCTAGATCCATATGGAATATGTTGCCTATCTCCTCCCCACATTTCCTAAGCACATACAGACTGGATGCTAAACACATTTCCTTTTGCTGTTCAACAATGACGCTGATATTGATTTCCAGGTTTCATGGAAACTAATCAAGAAACAACAATATCAACATTTCTAGGTGACCCCTGAAGCAGTCTGCTATTTTAAGCCCAACATAGCTGGTCATTATAAAATAATTCTGATGACCTAGGAAAGACACTAATTCATGGAAAAGACAATTTTGACTATAATGGCCATACATTGCTAATCAATGATCTCACCAGTTTTATGCTCAGAGGGTATCTTTAACCTGAATTACTGCTTGTTTTACCAACACCCATAGCTTGGATTCAAGATCTGCCCTAGTTTTGTCTTTCATCCCAGACACACTTCCAGAGGAGACTTTTTCCCTGGGGAAAAAGAAACCGATTAAACAGTTAGTCTTAACTCTTAGTCTTATTTGGAGATTCAGGGGGTTGAATCTGTGACCTGGTATGTATTCTACCATGAAATTACAGCTTTGCCGGGAAGTATAAAAAAATTCCTGCAAAAGTAACTATGTCGGCTTCATTCTGCCTATCATCCATCACACCTAGAGACCTGCAGCCAAAACTGCAAGAATTGGGTGACACACAGAGCAAAGCCAAGTTAATTAATACCATCACACCACTGTTGTCGACAACCAGCTTGCTTGCTTTTAAACAGGCCCACACAATTTTTTATTCCTTTCCTGATCCACACCATAAACACACAGCATCTTTCAGGCATGCTCGCCTTCCTCCTTGCTCCCAGGAGGCACCTAATCGTATTTGTTTGGTTATTTTTATTTGTACTCTGTCCAAACATATCAACTGAAGAATGCACGGCTTTGAAAGAGTCTACGTGTGTCAAATCTATCTAATCCACAGAAGCAAGAACATGAAGACTAACAAATAAGAACAAAAAGATGGTTAAATGCTATGATGCCTCCTTTATTTGAAGAAGCAGGCTTAATGTTTGCAAAGTATTTGCCTGCATTTGCTGATTCACTCCCCCTTCCTGGTTTGAATAAACCAAGATTTCTGATGCTGGTTTCTGCCAGCAAGCCAATCCCCAAGTCTAAACAGGACACTGGGTTCAAATATAGTGGTCTCAATCAGGATGGAAATAAATGGATGGGGTCACCTCGTGCAAAAGCCAATGTTTATCTATGGCTTGCTGAACAAGTCAGATTCCTTGGCAAATCCATACTTTGTTTCCTTCTTATTTAGATGCTCTTGCTTTACATTTCTGTGGACTGGGTAGAGGTTTGAGCAAGGCACAAAAACAAACCAGAAATAATCCAGATAAACACAAGCAAACATTTGTGCCTGTTGATAAAGCACCTTAAGGTACAGTTGCACTGAGTAAGACCATTACGGTTCCAAATAGTGATTTACTATCTAAAATCAAAGATGGTTCCATTCCCATTTCAATCCTCGGCTTAAAAAAAAAAAAAATCACATTCTGGGTTAGCATTAACCAGTCAGAGCAGACCTAACAGGGAACCAAATAAGCTAGAAGTCCATTCATGTCAGCTAAATCATAACCATCTTTGGATGTACTGAAGCTGCACTGTGTCACTAAATTGCCTGATCAACAAATAATGGGTTAGCATTATGTGTGAATCACAGTTTGTTGTATCAGGAAACACCCAGGCACATCATGACTTTGTTCTGTGAGTTAATCAGTCTACTTATTCAAGTTAGAAACCAACTTCTTTCAATTATGGGGAAGAGTGGGTTCGAACCCCAGTGGGGAAAACACCCAACTTTAAGGTAGCCTTACCAAAGATCAGCAACAGCAAAAACTAGATTCTCTAATTTACAAGAGCTCTAAAGCCAGCTGCACAATCTCTACAATATGAAGATTTATGCAACTTCTAAACATGGGGGTGGAGAGATGGAAACCCAAGAATTCATACCGCTGAAGCAATTTCCTGTGATATAATTCAGTTCCATAAAAAAAGATTGAGATTATAGCTCTGAAACATAAAACCTGTATTTACAAACAGTAGCAATTTATATTACCAAAATGGGATTTATGAAGGTTTCTGCAAACACACACACATTTAAATGAGAGACATTTATTTACAGCATGGAAAGTATATGCTGTTACAGCAGAGGGAACATATAGTGCTCCAGATGGGGCCTAATTACAATTTAGTAGCTCTACCAGCAAGCCAATACTAAAGGATTCTGGGAGTTGTAGTTCAGCAACTGTAGAGGGCCACAAATCCCCAATCATCCATCTAAAGCAATCTTTTTCAAACTTGGCAACTTCAAGGTGTGTGAACTTCAACTCCCAGAATTCTGAGAGTTAAAATCCACACATCCTAAAGTTGCCAACTTTGAGAAACACTGTTCTATACCAATTACTGAGATGATTATAAATGGTTGTTAGAATATCCTAAATTACATGTTCAGCAGAAGACAGGCACAAAAGGAGGAAGAGGATTGTCTCCTGGGAAAATGTCAG